CTCTCTCTCTCTCTCTCTCTCTCTCTCTCTCTCTCTCTCTCTCTCTCACACACACACACACACACACACACACACGGGGCTAGGCTGCTCAGAGCGCTGGACGGGCAGCAGCTGACCCCAAGAGGCCACTGCTGGGTACTAGCTGGGCGCCCGTTTTATCGGTTTGTTTTCACAGCCCTGTGTCCCCAGAACTGCTCACCGCTGTTGGATGTGAGACGGACGGCAAATAACTCAAATGAATAAACCTGTTTTATAAATGAACGAATCCCCCCAAAGATTCTTGGCTCACAAGCATCAATCCACACGGATGAAAGAGCCCTGTGCATGTCAGACGGACAACTTCTCCTTTCCGCCTCCTACGCCCCCCCGCTCCCCCAAGTGGGCATCGTGTTGTGGCGGCCCAAGGCAGAGAGAGAGAGAGAGAGAGAGAGAGAGAGAGAGAGAGAGAGAGAGAGAGAGTGAGAGAGAGAGAGAATGAGAGAGCCTGGACGGCCTCGGCCCAGTCCTGAAGCCCAGGGAAAGGTCTCAGGGGCTCCCCCGCAGAGCAGGCCCCCTCCTCCCAAGCGAGGGGAGGGGAAAGGGCCCCTGCCTCCTGGGGGGACCCTCTCTGGGGGGAGGAAAGCTCCCATCCCGTCGAGGCGGCTGAGGGCCAAGGGCGGCCGTGCTGAAGGGGTCTGGCTGCCTCCTCGCCTTCCGCTGAAGCCTTCTTTCCTCCGGCCAGGCGTCCTACCCTCCACCTTGGGGGGGATAACTTCGCCAACACAAACGGCTGCAGAACTAACTTCCGCACCCGTTTCCACCCTCTGCTCCCTCCTTGTTATAGAGCAGCTTCTGACCTGCTCGTTGGATGCTGCTGTCGTTTTGGACCCCGGGAAACTGCCCCGTTTGTCCTCCAACCTGGCTCATCCTGCGAGGCAGCCCGGGGCTGGCTGGCTCGTCCCTTCGTCCCTCTCTCTCTCTCTCTCTCCTGGCCAGATTCCTGCAGGCCTTCCCCCACGATGGAGCTTCCCCCGCCCCTCCCTCAAGGGAAACGCCGGGACGCACCCCGAGGGGCCTCGGTTGGAACTACGTCAGCACCGGAAAGGGTTACATCACGCCACAAACTTTGATGACGGAGTTGGCATCATCATCAAAGGTTTTACAAACTTTGCCAAATTTCAGTTCCACGGGAGTCCTGGGGGTGGGGTGGGATTGGGGTGGGGCTCCCAATTTTGGATGTATTGCACGAGTTAGCCCACTGGAGGCACCTCGCTTGCCCTGCGATGCACCGTTTTGCCCGGTTAAAAGTGGCAAGACTGGGAGATTTAGGAGGATGCGGATTCCTGCCCCTGATTCCTCCTCGAATGTCGCCTTGTGTCGCGGAAACAAAGATGGCAAGACCGACTTGGCCGGGGGGGGGGGGGGGGGGGGGGGGGGGGGAGGGAGGAAGGAAGAAAACCAAACAAGGAGGCCAGTAGGCGGCTAGGGGCTTTCACGGGCATTTCCGCTCTTTGGGTGCTGATGGCGCTGCCGGCACTTGCCAGGAGAGGGCGCTACAACACAGAGGAAGGGAGAGCGGGGAGAGGGAGACACACACACACACACACACACACACACACACACGCGCACACAGACCCCTCCCCTCCCCTCCCCTCCCCCTCCCCTGTACGCACTGCTTCATTGCGATCAGCTTGGAGTCCATGCTCTCTTGCTTGCCCTTCATCAACTGGACATCGGTCAGCAATTTGGTCATGCTGTCCTGGCGAACCTTCACCTCTTCGTTCTTTATGCCGGATACCTGGAAGCAGGGAGGGGGGGCAGGGAGGGGGGGAGAGGGAGGGAGAGGGAGGGAGGGAGGGAGGCATTACTCGACTTGGAAACGAGGAAATTGCTGGCTGGGGGTCAGATGCAGGAAGTCAGGAACCAGGACAGAGTTCAAAAGTACCCCAGAGAGTCCCCGACCACGATTGAAAACCTCGGATTTCTGTTGCTGAGGCAGTTGTTAAGTGAGTTTTGCCCCATTTTACAACCTCTCTCGCCACATTTGTTAAGTGAATCACTGCAGCTGTTCAGTTAGTGACACGGTTGTTAAGTGAACCTGGCTTCCCCGTTGACTTTGCTTGTCAGAAGGTCGCAAAGGGGGATCACGTGACTCAGGGACGCTGCCACAAGCGTCGTATATGCGAGTCAGTTGCCTGACTGAATTTTGACATGACCAGGGGATGCTACAAAGGTCATAACTCTGAAAAAAATGGGTCGTAGGTCCCTTTTTTTAGTGACATTGAAACAGTCACTAAGTAAGTCGAGGACTACCTAATTGGTCTATGGAGATTCTCAGCCATCCCGGTCAGCGACTTTCTGGTTTTTCTCTGAAGAGGTTTCGCTTCTCATCCCAGAAGCTTCTTCAGCTTCTTCAAAGTCAGACCAGAAAGTCCAGTTACCTCTTGAAAAAGCACCTTTGGGGCGACCACCTGTATCCCTGGCCAGGGCAAACTGGTGCAGGTAGAAGTCAGCAGATGCTGGGGGGGGGGGGCTGAACTTAGCCCCCCGGCTCGGCCTGGTCACCTCCTGCGCGAAGGCCTGGAGGGCAGAGGGTGTGCAGGAGGACCTGGAGTCAGAGCCCAGCTGACACGGAGGTCACCCTATAAGCCTTAAGGAAGCGACCCTTCAGAAGGAGACCCCCCCCCGCTGCATCTCAAGTGCAGGTGGCTCTGCTGCTCGGCATCAACGTGTGAGAGTGACAGGACTAGGGAACACTTTCCTGGGGAAAATAACACTGTGATATTGCGCACCTGTCCACAAAGAGCAGAAAATGAAAGGGCTCTGAATCTGCTCCTGAGAGAAGCTTCAGGGTAAAAAGAGGTGGATTGTCTGAGTGGAGGTTCTCCGTCGTCCAGGTGAGAGGCCTGCAAACTTGGCAACGTTTAGACGTGTGGATTTCAACCCCCAGAATCCCCCCCACCGGTCACGTTGCCGAGTTTAGAGGCCCCGGATGCAGGTCACGGCTCCCCCAAAGGTCCTTTGGCTTTGTTTTCTTCCAAAGGGCAACTGGACTTTCTTGGTAAGGAAGGTTGCGTTGCCTTTGGGGGAAAAAAGACCCCCTGGCTATCCAGCTGACGGCACAACAGAGCCAAACCTCCGGGAGACCAGGCTCTCCGCACAAACAGGGCGTCCGCGGGGCGGAGGTGGGGGGGGGGCAAGAGCTCGGCGGGGCTCTCGGTCTTCTCAACTAAGGGAAGAGAAAGCAGTCCGG